AGGAGCGTGCAACTCCTTCAGCACGGTCTGTGCCTTTGGACCGCAATCAACCTCCGGCAGCAGGTGCATGATGTGGTGACGCTGGTTCAGCTCCAAACTCTGCGACATCAAATAGTAGCCAGCCGAGGCGCGCTCGTCCCAATCTTCCTGCAGCGCGGGGTCACTCGGTCTAGGCTCCTTCCCAGTCATTAGTTTCAGCAATCCAATCTGACGGAAGTAAAGTTGCATTTTCCAGGCCCAATCATCATAGCCCTCACCATTGAACTTCTCGACGGTGAAATTCTTCAGCACCTCTTTGATCAGCGAGCCCAGGTTGGTTCGCGCTCCCTTTGGCGCCGAAACACCAGAATCTTGGCTGCCGCTACTATCTTGGGCTGAAGATTTATTGGCTCCCGCCGAGGTGTTGCCCACCATAGCTACCTATAACGAGGATCGCTATAACGCAGCTCTGATACCAGCTTGTTGGTGTAAGGGCCCAATAAACTTAGGCTGTTAAGACTTAATCAAACTTAAAACCTCTCCTTGGGGTCACCTCCAAGGGTTCCTGGGTGCCTGGTACAAGACCAGCCCCTATCCTTGGGTCCGAGTTTGTAGAGAGAGGAGTTAAGAATGACTTAGCCAAAATAACGAGAGTACCTTGAACGTCGCGCAGAGTGCTGTACAGATCGTCGATCGGATTAAGCTGAGAATTCGCTATAACGAAGCTCGCTCCAAGAGCTTTAAAATAAGCCAAGTTGCCTCGCGAAAAGTTCTGCCATTACTAAGTTATGGCTTGGACAGCGTTTGCCTAGCGTGGGAGTGCTAGCATACTAGCATTGACTCGGATAGCATTGTGGCGTCGAAATTCTAGCGAGGAAGGAATTCGCTTGAATCAATTGACTATATTCAGGTACAAACAGAGAAGAAAGATATAGTTATAGCTAGCAAGGACCTTGGGAATCAACCTGGGAACAACCAGGGATGATCCCAAATAATTCCAAGCAACAGAACCAACCTGGCTGGATAAAATAGCAGGTGGTAGGTTGGTAAACAACCTCTGATTCTGTTTTTCCAACCTGGGAAAACAACAACCAGGTTCAGGTTCTAAAAACAGAACCTGTTTTGTTTTTGCCCAACCAGCCAAATGCTGGTTCCGCTGGTTTTCCCTGGCCCTGTAGCATGCAGATATAGACAAACAACATCCAACCTTCACCTAAATTATACCCCTATAGTGCCTGCCCTGCTACACTATAGTCAACCGAACAAAACAGTACAATTTCAAGTTGGATAGAACTGAATCTGCGCAATCAATTCAACCGAACTGCAAAGCTTCCATCTTGGGTTCCTTTGCGAGCTCGTCTTTTCTGCTTGCACTGTTCATAGCGCGTAGAATGTTGTGCCGAAGCGCACATTGCGCGAGTACCTGCAAATGCATCAAGCAAAAATTGCGAAAGCAAACAAACACACAAACACACCATCCACATGCAAATATCAAGAATAACTGACTGGAATGACTGAACTAACAGGGAAGGCAGTACAAATACAAACCCTAGAATAGTGTACCCCATATAGTCTAGCCCATTGTAGCCTAACAACAACCAACAAATATAATGTTTGACACACCCCCATAGGCAAAGTGGGGGAGATCTAGGGGTCACAAGACCAGTCAAAGCAAAGCAAGGCAACAACAAGCTCAGGGTGGATCTCGAGGATTCCACACAAATTCCGAGCACAAGCTAGTGGTCACAAGACCAGTTCACATGCAGGTTTATAACAGAGCAAGAGATACAGTGATCACAACCTAGCAAGAGTAAACATGCAGATATAGATATATATATAGTGATCACAGTACAAGCAAAGTCACGAGGTAAGCAAGTGAGGTCCAGTAGGCACAAGGCCTAGCAGAGTGCAGAAGCGCTGATGGTCACGAGGCTGAAGCGCCTTGGTGAACACATCAGCAGTGTTGGCCTCAGTGGCCACGTAGCGAATACAAAGCTGACCACGCTGCTGCAACTCTCGAGCAAGGAAGTACCGCAGGGCGATGTGCTTCGTTCTGTGCTCCAGTCTGTGCTCCTCACACAAGGCAATAGCAGCCTTGTTGTCGACGTACAGCACTGGAGGAGAACGAGGCCGCTCTCCGAGGTCGGTCAGCAGGTAGGTCAGCCAGCGTAGCTCCTGAGCAGCCATGGCTGTGGCGTAGATCTCAGCCTCACAACTGGAGCCGAGAACAGAAGAAGAGCGAGTAGAGCGCCAAGAAACTGAGCCAGAGCCAAGACTGAAGGTGTAACCCTGAGACGACCGCTGAGTGGCCTGGTCGTCTGCCCAAGAAGCGTCTGAATGCCCTGTGAGAACAACTCGGTCTCGCCCTCCAAGCACAAGCCCCATGCCCGACGTACTGCACAAGTAGCGCAACACCCTCTTAGCGGCATCCATGTGCTCCTTCCTGTGACGGCCAGGAGCGACATAGCGTGCAAGGATGCTAAGAGGGTATGCAAGGTCAGGTCGAGTGCAGGTCATCAGGTACATGAGGCAGCCCACAAGCTCTGGATACGGGCCACTCGGCTCTACGGACTCATCCGAAGGCAGAGCTGAGAGCGAGTGACCGGTAGGCAGAGGAGTGGACTGAGGCGAGGAGTACGTGAAGCGGAAGCGCTGGAGAACCTGCTGCACCATGTGTGACTGAGTCAGGGTGATGGTGCGCCGTGCTCTGTCCCGGGTGATCCGCAAGCCAAGATAGCTTGTCAGCTCACCCAGGTCTGTGCACGTGTGTCTCCTCTGCAGCTCCGACTTCACGTAGGCGAGCCCTGCAGTGTCAGCAGTGGCAAAGACCAAATCGTCGACGTACACGAGGATGTAGAACGGCGGCAGCGAAGTGTCGGTGCGCAGGAACAGCGACGGGTCAGCTGTAGAAGGCGCGAACCCAAGAGCCGCAAGTGTAGTCCTCAGTGTGTCGTGCCACTCACGCGGAGCCTGGCGGAGACCGTAGACTGGCCGCTGAAGCCTCCACTGGGTACCAGGAGGAAACGACCCAGTGAAGCCAGGTGGGCGACGCAGCCAGATCTCCTCGTGCAGGCTGCCCTGCAAGAAAGCAGTGCTGAAGTCAAGTGAGTGAAGCTCGTAGTCGCGGTGAGCGGCTATGTGCAGCAGCACCCGAAGAGTAGTCATCTTCGGGGTGGGGGAGAAGGTCTGGAAGAAGTCAACTCCCTCTCGCTGACTGAAGCCTCGAGCCACGTAACGCGCCTTGAAGACAGGCGGAGAACCCGGCGGCCGCTTCACCCTGAAAATCCACATGCCACTGACGATGTTCGCCCCAGGAGGGGGAACCTCGTCGATGCTCAGCACGATACCGGTCAGACTCAGGGTCCGGAACGTCAGGCAAAGAGGACGTAGGAGGAGACGGTAGCGGGACACGCTGAGGAGCAGTGGAGGGACGCAGAGTCATGTAGTGAGTGCCAGGGACAGGAGGAGGACGCTCACGACGGACACGACTACCAGCGCGAGCAGGACGAACAGGCGACGCAGGACGAGACTCAGGCTCACGACGCTCTGTAAGACCTCCTGTGGGACCAGTGTAAGGAGAGGGAGCAGGGAGAGACGAGGTAGGCGGTAACTGTGACTGCGGCTGGACAGGCGGGGGACACTCTACGGAGGGAGGAGGACAAGGAGGAGGAGCCTGCCCAAGAACCTGCTGAAGGAGCGGTACGAAGTACGGCCGCGGCCGCGCAGCGTCTCCAGAAGCAGAAGAGACTCCAGCGGCCGGGTCCTCAGCACCAGCAGTAGCTCCAGCGTCCGGGTCCACAGCACCAGCAGCAGCTCCACCGTCCGGGTCCGCAGCACCAGCAGCAGCTCCACCACTCGGGTCCTCAGCACCAGCAGCAGCGCCACCGCTCGGGTCCTCCGCACCAGTAGCAGCTCCAACGCCCGGGTCCTCAGCACCAGTAGCAGCTCCAACGCCCGGGTCCTCAGCAGCAGCAGCAGCGCCACCGCTCGGGTCCTCAGCTCCAGCAGCAGCTCCAACGTCCGAGTCCTCTGTACCAGCAGCAGCGCCACCCCCAGGGTCCGCAGCACCAGGAGCACCACTCCGAAGACTGCAGCGCCGTGTGTACCACTCGCGGATCTGCTGAATGGGGGGGAGCTCCTGGGTAGGAGGGGAAGTACCGGGACGAGCTCCAGCAGCACCTCTCCGGAGGCGGCAGTACTCGAGATACCTCTCCTGCAGCTGCTGGGAGGAGAGGGCTCCTCCAGGTGTCGCACGCTCAGGCTCAGCACCCCCAGACTCAGCACCCCCAGACTCAGCACCCCCAGGCTCCGCACCTCCAGGCTCAGCACCCCCAGGCTCCGCACCCTCAGACTCAGCACTCCCAGGCTCAGCACCCCCAGACGCAGCACCCCCAGGCTCAGCACCCCCAGACGCAGCACCCCCAGGCTCAGCACCCCTAGCAGGACGAGAGTCGACAGCTACCTCGACAGGCTCACCCGGGTCTACCTGGGACACACCTGAGGGAGCGGCACCCTGAGGGGGGAGGGGGTCTGGTACCTCAGCACCTGGAGCGAGGAAGAGAGGCGGGGGGGGGAGCGGGGCAGTGCGGTAGGGGAAGAGGCAGTAGTAGGGGACGGACTCGTCAAAAGAGACGTCCTGAGAGGCCAGGACACGACGCGAGGTGGGGTGGTAGAACTGCCAGCCAGGGGCGTCCGGGACAAAGCCAAGGAAGACGCAGGGGACAGCGCGACGGGAGAGCTTGTCCGCGGACGTGTCGCGGACAAAAGCTCGGGATCCCCAGACCCGAAAACGCGACGCATCGCCAGCCTCTCCCGTCCAACGCAGTGTCGGAGAAGTCTCGGGCAAGGAGACACGGGGCCAGAGGTTGAGCTGATGCGCAGCGTATCGGACTGCAAACGGCCACAGAAAATGGGGGGCAGCCGCATGGCTCAAGGAGGTACGAGCGACCTCCATGACCAGACCAATGCGGCGCTCAGCAACCCCATTCTGCTGTGGAGAGGCCGGAAGCGTGAACGACTGCTCAATGCCCTCCTGCTGACAGAAGGCCTCCAATAGGCCAGAGGAAAACTCCCCACCTCTGTCAGAGTGCAGACGCAGGACAGGGAAGTCGGAGCGGAAACGCTCACTGAGCTGGAGACGAGATCTGCGGATCCAAGGGATCAAGACATCAGGGACGTCACCCTTGGCGCGCAAGGGGAAGACCGTGGTGTAGCGCGAGAAGTCGTCAACAACAATCAGGAAGTACCTCTCCTGACCCTGACCACGGACGCGGGCTGGGCCCCACACGTCCATGTGGAGCGTCTGCAAGGGAGCAGTCGTCGGGGGAAAGGAGGAGGAGTGAGGTGCGGCGCGCTGCCGCCCCTCGACACAGGGAATACAGGGGGGAGCAGGTGAGTCGGGAAGGGGAGGGAGCACCCTGGGAAGACCAGCAACAAGGTCCCGTTTGTGCATGGCACGAAGGCGCTGCACAGACGGGTGACCAAGGCGGTGGTGCCAAAGGACAGTCTCATGCGCCAGAGAGCGACACGAGCAGGGGGCGGACAGCTGACCTGACGCAGACGCAGACGTAGACGCAGACGCAGCTACCTGAGGGGACTCAGTGGTCAGTGTGTACAGGTCCGACCCCGGCTCTCGAGTGAAAGTAGCCAGGTGGCGACCCGTCCGAGCACACGTGCAGTGTGTCACGCGCTCGTAGGCAGGGGTGAACTGGTGAACACCCCCGTCCTGGAGTGCACTACCTGCCACCAAGTTCGTAGAGAACGAGGGGAGGTAGAGACCTGACAGCGTGCCGGACGGGACCGCCGGACAAGGAAGGACAGTGGAGGAGGTCGCAATGACCGGACCCCCAGAGGGGTCAGCAAGGGAGACCGCAACTGGCCGAGCGAGTGGCTCAAGGACAGTGCGGTCACGAAAGAAAGAGCGAGAAGCACCTGAGTCCAGTGTGAAGGTGTGCAGTGCTGCAGTCGACTCAGTACCAGGGGGCACAGACGCACTAGCACCTAGGGCAGCAGCCTCACCAGGACCTGTGGGAGCGGACGCACTAGCACCTAGAGCGGCAGCCGGACTGGCCTGAATGCCCGGGTCGGGCAGAACACGCAAGTACTGAGCACCCTCTCCACTAATAGACATCGCATACATGGCAGTGAGAATAGCATCAAAGTCTAGAGCCCAAATATCAACACCCCTCTTTTCCAGCTCAGCCCAGCGCGGCAGGTCAGTGGCACTAGGAAACTGGGTGCGCCACGCGTCGTTAAGGCGCGCGAAGCAGCGCTGCGTGGGGTGCGGCCTCCCACACTGCTGGCCGCTGCGGTCACCTGTGCGAATAACGTACGTGCAGGTAACTCCACGCTGCGCATACCACTCACGGGCGGCCTGAAGCGTCGGGGCGGGCTGCTGACTCTGCCCTCCGCCAGTGCCTCCACGACCACCACCCCGGCCACCTCCACCCCTGCCGCCACCACGACCACCTCCGCCCCCGCTGCCGCCTCCGCCCCTGCCACCACTCCCGCCGCTGCTGTCTCCTCCCCCACTGCCGCCACCGGCCTCCTCAGCCGCGCCTCCACTCCCACCGCCTCCACCCCCACCTCCTCCGCCGCCACCCCCACCCCTGCCCCCCTTGTTCCTGCGGCGCCCGCTCGAAGCAGACGCGGTCCCGACCTTCTCAGCACCGAGGAGGTCGACAGCAGCAGCAGAGGCGACAGAGGGGAGGAGGGGGGAAGGGGAACACCCCTCAAAGAACGGGGTGCGGGGGTCGCCACGAGAGGTGCCTACAGCTACAATACTCGCCTCAGCTGCAAGCAGTTCCTTCTCGAGGAGGGCAACAGTGAGCTCAGTGGGGGAGCGAGAGAGGAAGTGGTCCCTGACTGCGCGCAGAGAGTCAGGGAGGCGGGTGACGATGTGGTAGAGAGTGATCCAGAGCGGGGGGGGGTTGCTAGTGAGAAACTCGGCAGGCATAGCAGCGCGAAAGCGGGCCTCACTAGTCTTAAGGTGGGTGATGAGGTCTGCGACAGTGTGAAAGGAGGCTAGGTCGGGGAACAGGTAGGGGAGAGTGAGGCGGCCTAGCGTGGCAGAAGCAGGTGAGGAGTAGCGGGCAACTACAGCTGTGTAGAGGTCCTTAGCAGTCTTGCACTGGCCGAAGTGCTCGCGCTCGTCTAGCGGCAGGGAGTTGCGAATAGCAAAGCGAGCGTGCGCATCACGGGTCTGCCACTGGGAACGCAGAGTGCTGTCAGCAGACGAGTCAGGGGCAGTGGCATGGCCTAGGGCGTGGTCGTACAGTGAGATATCTTCCTTGGCAGTGAGCTGTAAGAACAGGTGCAGGTCATCTAGCCAGGTTTCGAACTTCACCGGACGGCCCTCGGCATCGAAAGCTAGAACGGGAGGACTAGCCATAGCGACAGGAGCAGTAGTAGCAGTTGGGTGCAAATGCACATTGCACGACATCCTGCCGTCTGTTTGTACGAGTATGCGTGTGCAAATGCATTTGCGTGTGAATGGTGTGTTCGTGTGTTTGTTTGCTTTCGCAATTTTCGCTTGAAGCATTTGCAGGTACTCGCGCAATGCGCGCTTCGGCACAACATTGTACGCGCTATGAACAGTGCAAGCAGAAAGGACGAGCTCGCAAAGGAACCCAAGATAGAAGCTTTGCAGTTCGGTTGAGTTGATTGCGCAGATTCAGTTCTATCCAACTCGAAATTGTACTGTTTTGTTTGGTTAACTATAGTGTAGCAGGGAAGGCACTATAGGGGTACAATTTAGGTGAAGGTTGGATGTTGTTTGTCTGTATCTGCATGCTACAAGGCCAGGGGAAACCAGCGGAACCAGCATTTGGCTGGTTGGGCAAAGACAAAACAGGTTCTGTTTTTAGAACCTGAACCTGGTTGTTGTTTTTCCCAGGTTGGAAAAACAGAACCAGAGGTTGTTTACCAACCTACCACCTGCTATTTTGTCCAGCCAGGTTGGTTCTGTTGCTTGGAATTATTTGGGATCATCCCTGGTTGTTCCCAGGTTGATTCCCAAGGTCCTTGCTAGCTAGAACTATTTAATCCTTCTCTGTTTGTACCTGAATATAGTAAAAATTGATTCATGCGAATTCCTTCCTCGCTGGAATTTCGTTTCTACGCGGTTCGTTGGCGGAATGCTACCCGAGTCAACGTTCGTTGGCGGAATATATTCCTTCTCTGTTTGTACCTGAATATAGTCAAATTGATTCAAGCGAATTCCTTCCTCGCTGGAATTTCGTTTCTGCGCTATTCGACGGCGGAATGCTACCCGAGTCAACGCTAGTATGCTAGCACTCCAACGCTAGGCAAACGCTGTCCGAGCCAGAACTTAGTAATGGCAGAACTTTTCGCGAGGCAACTTGGCTCATTTTAAAGCTCTTGGAGCGAGCTTCGATATAGCGAATTCTCAGCTTAATCCGACCGACGGTCTGCACGGCACGCTGCGCGACGTTCAAGGTACTCTTGCTGTTTTGACTAAGTCCTTCTTGATCCCTCTCTCTACAAACTCGGACCCGAGGATAGGGGCTGGTCTTGTACCAGGCACCCAGGGACCCTTGGAGGTGACCCCGAGGAGAGGTTTTAAGTTTGATTAAGTCCTAATAGCTTGAGTTTATTAGGCCCTTACACCAACATGCGCGGGCAGGCGACGGGCGGCTGCGGGGCGTGCGCGAGCGGCTGCAGGCAACGGGCGTGCGGCACGCGAGTGGCTCTGGCGGTGCGCGGGCCGGCAGCGGGCAGCACGCAGGCCGCGCGGGTGAAATGCGGGCTGCGTGGGTCGGTAGCGGGCGGTGCGCGGGCCGTTAGGGGCGATCGCGGGGCCGACGAGGCCGCTAAGGGGCGGGCAGCGGGGTCGTGAGAGGCGCTAAGGGGCGGCGCGACGGGGCCGTGAGGGGCCTCTAGGTCAAAAAACAACAGGGCCGCGGGGCCTCTAGACGGGGCTCGATCGACGGGGCCAGAAAAAAAAAATGAAGCGCTCGAGGGCGCTACGGGGGAGGCGCTAAGAACGCGCTCCGGTAGTAGGTAGGTAGGTAGGTAGGTGGGCCCGAAGGACGGTCCTAGCGAAGGACCTGCTCTGAAACCATGTCAAGAATAACTGACTGGAATGACTGAACTAACAGGGAAGGCAGTACAAATACAAACCCTAGAATAGTGTACCCCATATAGTCTAGCCCACTGTAGCCTAACAACAACCAACAAATATAATGTTTGACAGCAAATGCATTCGCACACGCATACTCGTACAAACAGACGGCAGGATGTCGTGCAAAGTGAATTTGCACCCAACACAGCCGACCTGCAGCAGTGGGCGAGCTGGTCGACGGGGCTGGTCGACCTGCACGGGGGCCACTGCAAGGGCGCCGACTTTGGGAGGGCGTCGACTTCGGGTGGTCGACCTGGCGAGGTCGACATCGAAGGCGTCGACTTGGTGATACCGACCCGGGAAGCCGACTGGGTGTGGTCGGCCAACAGGTGTGCTGGTCGACTGGAGCTGGTCGACCAGGAGTGTCATCGACTTGGAGCTGGTCGACCAAGGGTGTGGTCGACTGGTGAGGTCGACTAGAGGTGGTCGTCGACTTGGGTGGTCCATGGGCACGTAAAGGAGCAGCTGGTCGACGTGGTTGCCTGGTCGACCGGGTTACCTGGGTGACGAGGTTCTACGGAGGAGTGCGATGGTCGCCCAGGTGGTATTGGCGGAGACCGACCTCGGTGGTGGTACCCCGAGGTCGACGTGGCAGATCTGATGCAGTTGTCAGCACGAGGTCGATTTGGTTTGTGCTATGCAGGTGACAAGGCATGGCACGCCAATCATCTGCGAGCACCTGCGAAGCAGGTGCGCTGCTGTCCTGCGGAAGCAACGTTGGCACGCCGTCGAATTGCAGTGTTGGCACGTCGTCGACTTGCAGCAATGGTAGACCGCGACTGTGCACTGCTGGAGAACGGTCGACCAAGTCGTGCTGGAACGCGGTCGACCGTGCTGGGCTGGCAGTCGATGTAGTCTTGCTTGCAAACTTCATTGTACCATTAATGTGAACTTTTGCTAGTGAAACTCTTGCCAAATTTCCCCGTGAACCAGCAAGTAGTACATGCATAAGGAAACAACTATGGAACGAACGCAAAGATCACTCATACCCCGTGCCTAGCCTGTAGTCAGGCTCCCGTTGCTTGAGTTATCTTCGCTATGAGTGGTACTAAGAGAACGCGTCTTACCTAGTCATATGAGTGGTACTAAGAGTAAGTGCGTTATTTAGCCATATGAGTGCTATTAAGAGTAAGTGCGTTACTTCTTGATTTGAGTGATACTATGAGTAGGTACATTACTTAGCCAAATGAGTGGTACAAAGAGTAGGAGCGTTACGTGACAATAATAGTGTCACTAAGAAAAATGCATTACTCAGCCATGTGAGTGGTACTAAGAGTAAGTGCGTCACTTAGCAATATGAGTGGTAGTAAAGCAAGTGTGTTACTTAGCCATATGAGTGGTACAAAGGGTATCTGCGTTACTTAGCGATATGAGTGATACTAAGAGTAAATGCATTACTTACCCATATGAGTGATACAAAGAGTATCTGCGTTACTTAGCCATATGAGTGGTACTAAGAGTAATGCATTAAGTAACGATATAAGTGGTATCAAGAGTACGTTCGTTACGGCTTGTTGGTGTAAGGGCCTAATAAATTCAAGCTATTAGGACTTAATCAAACTTAAAACCTCTCCTCGGGGTCACCTCCAAGGGTCCCTGGGTGCCTGGTACAAGACCAGCCCCTATCCTCGGGTCCGAGTATGTAGAGAGAGGGATCAAGAAGGACTTAGTCAAAACAGCAAGAGTACCTTGAACGTCGCGCAGCGTGCCGTGCAGACCGTCGATCGGATTAAGCTGAGAATTCGCTATATCGAAGCTCGCTCCAAGAGCTTTAAAATGAGCCAAGTTGCCTCGCGAAAAGTTCTGCCATTACTAAGTTATGACTCGGACAGCGTTTGCCTAGCGTTGGAGTGCTAGCATACTAGCGTTGACTCGGGTAGCATTCCGCCGTCGAACAGCGCAGAAACGAAATTCCAGCGAGGAAGGAATTCGCTTGAATCAATTGACTATATTCAGGTACAAACAGAGAAGGATTAAATAGTTCTAGCTAGCAAGGACCTTGGGAATCAACCTGGGAACAACCAGGGATGATCCCAAATAATTCCAAGCAACAGAACCAACCTGGCTGGACAAAATAGCAGGTGGTAGGTTGGTAAACAACCTCTGGTTCTGTTTTTCCAACCTGGGAAAACAACAACCAGGTTCAGGTTCTAAAAACAGAACCTGTTTTGTCTTTGCCCAACCAGCCAAATGCTGGTTTCCCCTGGCCTTGTAGCATGCAGATACAGATAAACAACATCCAACCTTTACCTAAATTGTACCCCTATAGTGCCTTCCCTGCTACACTATAGTTAACCAAACAAAACAGTACAATTTCGAGTTGGATAGAACTGAATCTGCGCAATCAACTCAACCGAACTGCAAAGCTTCTATCTTGGGTTCCTTTGCGAGCTCGTCCTTTCTGCTTGCACTGTTCATAGCGCGTACAATGTTGTGCCGAAGCGCGCATTGCGCGAGTACCTGCAAATGCTTCAAGCGAAAATTGCGAAAGCAAACAAACACACGAACACACCATTCACACGCAAATGCATTTGCACACGCATACTCGTACAAACAGACGGCAGGATGTCGTGCAATGTGCATTTGCACCCAACACACTCCCCCTCAGCCTGCCGGCTGCATCCCCATCATTCCATGCTAGTTCATGCTCATTCCACTCATGCGCACACAACGCCAATGAGGCTCATCCGCAAGCCTCTTGGTGAGAAAGTCTGCTGGCTGCTGGTGAGTCTTGATGTAGATCGGATTCACCGTCGCCCCCTTCACCTCCTTACGCAGCCAGTGCCATTTGATACGCATGTGCTTATTCAGCCCATGAAGCACAGCGTTCCTGGCCATCCTAAGAGCCCCCTTGCTATCACAAAACAGCGGCGTAGCAACTTTCTGCTCCTGGCCAATCTCCTCTAACAGCCTCCTCAGCCAAATCACCTCCTTCACCCCATGGAACATCGCCATGTACTCTGATTCTACGGAAGAGAGTGCCGTCTCCGTCTGCTTCTTGGACCTCCAACTAACAGGTCCTCCCCCAACTACGCAGATATATCCTCCCACAGATGAGGAATCCTCCTTCTCAGAAGCCCACGTAGCATTGGTAAAGCAAGTGAGAAATAGCTTGCCTTCTCCAAGCCTCTCCCCCTTCTCTTTCAGCACCTCCACCCCTTTCTGCTTCACCTGTGCAGATGCGGAGTATTGAACTCCAATGCTTGGGTGAGAGTTCAGGTACTTCACCACACGCTCAGCTGCATCCACCTGCTCCTCTGATGGATTCTGCACCACCCTAGCCAGCTGCCCAACCGAGAAAGAGATGTCGGGCCTCGTGTGAACTGCTGCGTACAAGAGGCTGCCCACCAAGGACTGAAATTGCTGCTGCTCCTCGGCTTCAACCCCTTCATCCTCTGCAGCCTTCACAAGCTTGAATTCTGCTGGCAGGGGAGTT